CAGTCACCTGGTTGCTGCAGCCTCATGCTTTACAAATAAATCAAATTCTACTTCAGTCCATGAAAAACAAGAAGCAAAGTCTACATTGATGTTTAACAGTCTAGAAAATACTTTCTTGTTATTTGGTAAAAAGAGGTAATTTTGTAACAGAGACTTCACACAGCTGCTTTTATAAATGAAAAATGGGTGATTTTAAATGATGGTGCAATATCATGAAATTAGGCTGACTTGCAAAAACAACAACAACAAAACCAACCAACAAACAAACAAAAGAACAACAACCAAAAAACCCATCAACAGACCCTCTTAAAACACACAAGATCACCTATCATAGCCCTGTTTCTGCTTTAAACCAGTAGATGTCCTTGTAGTCCACAAGCAACATGCCAATACCAAGTAAACTATTATACTGTGTAACCATGCAACATTCCATTTCAGCTGAGAAACAGATCACCCACCACTGTAACTATAGGTTTTCATGTGATATCTACTTACACAAAAGGCTGTTTTTAAAATCATAATCAGCATACATGATTAGGAGTTCAGAGCTTAACCATTTTACATGCACAAAACAAGGCTGCTTAACAGCAAGTGGATCAAAAAGCATCTTCCTTTAAGTGATCACTTAAAATTTTTGCTTCTTGGCAGAAGGGAGAGAAGAGTTGCTTTATTTTTTTAAAATAAAAAGCCTTTATAGAATAAAGTGAAAAAGACAACATTACATTTGGCTTCTTGGACAAGAAAGAAAATTGGATCTTAATTTCATTTAAAATACAGCAATAAAGAACACTTTCTGTTGTAACTTACCTACATTTCTGTCTATAACTGCACTACTCCAGTTTGTCTGCCTTCACAGATTTATTAGCACAGATTATGTTCTGCGTACCATTCTACATCCACTTAAAACTTATTTCTTGATATACTGAAGTACACAAGTTTACTTATTATGCCTACTTCATGCATAAAATGGGATTACACGAGTGAGATTCTATGTCACTATTAAAAGAATCTCTCCAGTAAGGAAGTAAAACACAGAATGTGTTTCATTTATATATAAAGACCGCTTCATAGCTATTTACATATTTAAAAGATTTAAGAGAGGCTTCAGTAAAAGCTCTGTTAAATTCAAAGTACTACAGAAAAATCCCATAGAATTATATTTGTTTTGAATGAGTGCAGGTGTCAAACTACTACTATTTTTAAATATAGTAAGAAAACAAGAAGAATTATAATTGTTCACTACAAAGAAAATACAACAATTTTATTATAGTCAACAAATGGGGAAAACACATACTCATTCTTGCCAAGAGTTTTCTTGCTGGCTGCTTAGAACAAGTATTACCCATTTTAATTCTTACACAGTCTTAGAGCAATGGTGAATGCTGGTCTCAGGTGAAAGCTCTCATTGTAGAGACCTGACTGATTCAGACTGTGGGAAATAGGTAGGCTAAACAGCTGACTGTGAAAGATGTACTAAGCATAGATTATGGGCGGGACTGTGCAAAAGTCAGGGCACAATTAAGTGTGTTGTGAAGATTCTCCAAGGAAACAAAACCTTCCTTTCTCAAAAAGATGAAGGAGAGTTTTCTGGCCTTTAGAACACATGGCTTCCTCAGCAACAAGAAAACATGTTGATGTAACATGCAAAACTATCAATGGAATCTGAAGGGACTTAATCTTTTACCCAAAAATATTTTAGAGGCTGGGAAGTAAGGTATATTTACAAAGCTTCTGTAGATTAACTAGTCTTCGATATCAATCCAGTATAGAACCACAACAATTTGCTTAAAATTGAACACATAGTAACATCAAAACAAACAAATGTTTCTATGGAGACAACTATCTAAATAAATGCTTACAATGGATCCAAGACGTGACGTCACCCAGGCCTGCCTGCAACCATAGTAACATACAAGTGTAAACAGAAATATTTTTATTTTTCTATCTAATAATGTTACAGAATTAGCAGTTTTATGGCAGTGCTTAAACCATACTTTTGCAATGTTGAGTAGTAACACTTCTAAAGTAAGAGCAGAGATATTTATATCAGGGCTATTACTATTACCATATTAACTACATACAAGTGGAGTATGTGTATGGCATAGCTAACATATCAAATTTCCCAGAGCAGTTGTTGACCCCAATAAACAAAGAAATTTAAGTTCTTAAGGCAACATGCCATAATGCTAGTCAAAGATCAGTAATATCTATTCTTCTTGAGTATTTGCTTTCTTTAATACAAAAAGAGCTCTTAATATTATTGTGTCACAATGTCTTGCTGGATTAAGAAGAATGCAGCCACGCATTGTTTTTCATACCAAATGCAGAACACTTATGTGCTCTTTTCCTGTGTCAGCAATTATTTTAGTCTCTCCAAAACAACAAGATTCACTAAACCCCTATATTTGCACTCTGCAAGGACAATACAAGACACACAGCCTACAAACTTCTGCAACTCTGCAAAAGTAATACAAATGAAACAGTCAGTTAATAAGGAAAATTTCCAAGAAGGAAGAAATTGTTTCAACTATTGAAAAGATAACCACAGAACTCTCATTCACATTAAAACTATCAATCAATGACATCAATGCTATTGCATGTCTGCCAGTTGTATGTCTCTAAATTCAGTAGACCCACATTGCATTATTACTTCCTTTGCAAAATATAAAAGAAGGATGTCTATATAAGTTTCAAATAGCATGTGAAAAATTAATGCCTGGCATAATATTGCTAAGATATTTATACTAAAACCCTACATTTCAGTAGAAGCCTGAGGTACAGGTAAATTAAAGTTATTTTAATTTAAAAATGATGGAACACTATTTTTAGTCCTGTCATGAAAATTTCACATACAGTAATTTATGAAAACTTCCCTTCTCATAATATATGATTGTGACTTACCCTTGTCTTCAAGTATGGATATGAATTTAGGGACCAGTTAAAAAAATTACTTCCTACGAAGTATTTTTAGGCTTCTTTTTTAACAATGATGTGAGCCAGTTTTTCAGATAAGAATTTATTTTTGCCATTTAAAGAAGCAAAGCTATCCTGAAAGCAATTAGCAAAAGATATTTTTATGTACCTTTGAGAAAGAAGATAGCTTTGAAATTAAAATCTACCCTGCAACTATAGTGTTGCTGTTGTATGCAGTCCAATGAACATATGAAGAAAAGAGTCCAACATCTCAAGTTTTGACTGTGAAACTCTAAAATACAGCAAGGAGCCAGCTCACCACATAGTTACATTTACTATTGTGTACACTTTTGTTGGTTTTGGTACAATTTTCATAAATTTCATCCCATAAGATATTGTAAAATTTGGTAATTCACTCTTTACAATTTTGTTTGCTTTTCCAGGTGCAGCAGGCATAGAAAGATAACCATATTTAATGAGATGTCTTTATTTTATGTTTTTATAACCTAAAAAATCCACAAACATTTCCTTTTCTACTTATTCTAGAAATGGCAGTCTATCCCAACTTCATTAATGCAATACAAATACTTGGCATAAATGTAGGTAGTTTTCCTCTATCTCTAGGGATGCAACTTATAAATTCATACACACTGCTACTCTCACAAGTAGACTTTGGCTTTTCATTTCAACTACCAAGATACACCAAACCCATCTCACTGAACCACTATGGTTGACTGTAAGAATGTCAGGCTAAGGTCCATCTTGAAGACACAGTCTAGCTGCAGGACCTCAAAACAACAGCGAAGGACAGAGTCTTCTGATACCCAGAATAAATTGTCTATCATAGATGAAGACAGAAACCAACAAACATAAAGACTAAACAACCCTTCAGATCAGCTAGTTCACTGATTGCATACCTAGCTGGCAACACAACTTTCAAAAAATACAAGGAGGGACTCAAAAACAAAATGGACTGATAAAAGAACAAGAGGGTTGGAGTGTGCATATATGGTGCTTTTAATTGCCTAGATAAGATCCCTGAGGAGAAAACAAACAAAAGAAATCAAAAAAGTAACGTCATTCTAACTGTCCATGTTGCACTGGACAACCTTTCAAGATTAAAGGCCTTTTTTTCTCTGCCTTTCTTTGCTTTGATGCACTCTAAAGGGTCAGAGCTTATAGCAAGTTTTCTCAATAACCCTTGAAAGCAATTCAGTTTGCATGTTCCCCCCAGCATTACATCACAGTAGGTGAAAGTACAAGTCAAATAAATGTTCCTATAAGCTACAATGACAATCAAAGTACCTTCCTTAAAGCCAGTCCCTCAACACAACAAGGTATGAGACAATTTAAACAGTTACTGTGGTAATAAAAAGCAGAAAAGACAAGGTTATCAGATCAGATACAGGGGAAAGGGGAAGGTAAAAACGTTCCAGTTTTACACAAAGAAAAAAAAAATTGAGTCTTCCCTTGGATTTGACAAGTTTCTGGATCAAGCCTGTCTACATTTTCAATCCAGGCAGAGAGTCACTAAAGCTCCAGTCTATTCACAAGATTAAGTTAGGACCATTGAGATAATCCCAACCAATTAATCACAGCCATGGTTCTGCATCACAAATTCACAATCAATTTTGCATGGCCCTACACTTTAAGCCTAAGTAGGTATTGTGCTGGACATCACAACTGTTGTTAGGAACACTGGCTTTTAGTACATATCCCATATTACTCCTCTGTGGCTGAGTTTTGGCAAGATATAAAAATACATCAGGATTTAATTCAGATACTCGTCAGGAAAAAGTCACACCGTTTACTGCAATTAAAAACATGTATGTGTTGAAATAGCCCAGATTTGTCCTGATCACATCATATCTCTTTGCACAACATTAAGACCTGTGACGCTGAACCTGTATTTTCAGACAAAGCAACACAGTTTCATAAAGGGACATGAAATAAATTGTATCTCATTAATAGATTGTGACAGAGACATACAGTGTCTCACAATATCTGTAAGCAACAGAAAATAAATTTAGATGATAGCTGTAAAACATGTTGGGGAGACACAAAACCAATGGCAGAAAGGAACTTACTTGATTTTACTGAAGACAATGTCAACGTCTGTGATTGTCACGTTCTTTCCATCTATCACATGACAGTCCTTACATAGCTTTGACCAGTTCTTCCCATGCATCTCTTTTCCTGTGGCTCTTGTATCACCATGGATGGCAAATTTTCTAAAGGCCTCTTCCAGAGCACTTATTTCTCCTGCCATAGCTCCCTCATGGGAGCTGTTCGATTCACAGGATAATCGTTTTGCTGCTCGATCTTTTGCCGGATCTGAAGGAGATTTTGGAGGAGTCTTATTCACAGGTTTGGTTAACTTCACCTTGTTTTCAGCCATTGTGCTATGAAGAAGAGAAGGGTAAACTCGTTACAATGAAATTGCAGTATTTACTTTCTGTTAAGCTACAGGCTACAGTCCATGTCACATCACATGAAGAATAAGTGGTCTATAAAGTCAGCAAGAACTCAGTGCCTTCCATCATCAAACAGTTTATATATAGAACTATGTAACTTTGCCCACCTATACAAAAAATCTATTAAAAAAAAAAAAATCAGGGAAAGAACATTCCAAACAAACCTCACTTCACCATCATTATATCAGCCAACAATAGCACATTCAAGTGTTAATTTAATTTTTCTTTCATTTTTAATGGCAATCACCACAGTCACTCTACTAGTTTGGATAAAAGTATGCCCTTTATATTGTAGGCATTACTACCTGCTTCTATTTCTGAAGGAAAAATAAACACATTTTCTGGACTGTGGCTTCTTAATTACTGTTACTGAAAAATGAAATAATTTGAAACTGCAGCAAAAATATTAATTCTATAGCACTTATATTACATTATGTAAGGGCTAACAAGTAAGGAAGCCTCAGAAATGCTTAGAAGAGTCTCTTTTGTTAACACAACCTTTTATTTCTCAAGTTTATGCCCAAAGAACTGTAAATGTGAAATTCATTTGGTATCAACACATTCACAATGAAGGAGCACTGAGAAGGGATATCAGTACTGCAGAGAACAACTCTCAGATTACCCTATATTCATGTAGGATAGGTTTTCCTCTTAAAAGAAGCCTTAAACTGAGCAGCAGAACACTAGAGTTATTTTCAGGTGTCTTCACAAAAACAAAACAAAACAAAAAACCAAAACAAACAAACAAAAAATAAAACACCATACCCTAACATGCCAGAAGCATGGCATAGAAGTCTTTGCCTTCTGCCCATCCATTCTTAGCTTGGCAGAAGTAAGAGGCACTGAAAAGCCTAGGCTTCTCTCAACATGCAGACTGTTGCCCAGACTCAAATCTGTGGTGCTGCTTGATTTCAGTAAAGCATTTGACATCATCTCAGACAGCATCCTCCCAGCTAAACTGAGGAAGTGTGGTCTGGATGACTAGGTAGTGAGGTAGAATCTGAACTGGTTGAAGGAAAGAAGTCAGAGTTGTGGTCAGTGGGGCAGAGTTTAAGATACAGGCCTTTGTCTAGTGGAGTCCCTCAGGGGTTGGTACTGGGACAAGTACTATTGTATATATCCATCAACGACCTGAATGAGGTAACCCAGTGTACTGTCAGTAAGTTTGCTGATGACACAAAACTGAGAGGAGTGGCTGACACACCAAAGGGTTGTGCTGCTATTCAGCAAGACTTGGGACAGCCTGAAGAGCTGGGCAGGGAGAAATTTAATAAAATACATCAAGGGCAAGTGTAGAGTCTTGCATTTGGGAAACAACAACCCCATGTACCAGTACAGGGTGGGGGCTGACCTGCTGGAGAGCAGTGTAGAAGAAAGGGACCTGGGGGTCCTGGTGGACAGGAGGATGACCATGAGCCAGCAATGTGCCCTTGTGGCCAAGAAGGCCGATGGCGTCCTGGGGTGCATTAGAAAGGGGGTGGTTAGTAGGGCAAGGGAGGTTCTCCTCCCCCTCTATTCTGCCTAGTGAGGCTGCATCTGGGGTATTGTGTCCAGTTCTGGGCCCCACAGTTCAAGAAGGACAGGGAAGTGCTTGAGAGAGTCCACTGCAGAGCCACAAAGATGATGAAGGGAGTGAAGTTTCCCTTATGAGGAAAGGCTGAGGGAGCTGGGTCTCTTTAGCAGGAGACTGAGGGGTGACCTCATAATTGTTTTCTAATATGTAAAGGGCAAGTGTCAGTAGGATGGAGTCAGGCTCTTCTCAGTGATGTCCAATGATAGGACAAGAGGCAACAATTGCAAGCTGAAGCATAGGAGGTTCCACGCAAAAATAAGGAAAAACATGTTCACTGTGAGGGTAACAGAGCACTGGAACGGGCTGCCCAGAGAGGGTGTGGAGTCTCCTCTGCAGACATTTCAAAACCTGCCTGGACACATTCCTGTGTGACCTACTCTCAGCAATTCTGTTCTGGCAGGGGCGGTTGGACTAGATGATCTTCCCTTCCAAACCCTAACATTCTGTCCTTCTGTGCAACAAATTTTAACCCAGAAAGAAGAGATGCTTCAGGTATCAGAAGTTTGACCACTAATGGATAGGGGCTAGAAAGTCCACCATACTTACCTTGTACAATCCTCTGAAGTCACAGCTGGACATGGTATGTGACTAACATATGCAAAGATTGGTATGTATTTCTAGTTAAGGTTTTATTTTATTTTTATTAAGGTTTTATTTCTGCATAAGATATGAAGTTCTTCTGGGTTATATACAGACTCCCTCAGCAATGGAAACAATTCTAAAATTTTACCTTTTCTGATATTTCTTCATTTCTGTCACCTGAACAACCAAGACATATCCTTTCTTTCATGCTGCAACAGAACTAACCATAACTACCAGTAGGCCGCAGTTAGAATCAACCATTTAATAAAAACTATACTAAAGGACATTTGTCCTTTACAACTGACCAAATACAACATGCCCAAAGCACTACTGTCTATTTTGAAAACATCCAAGTAAATGCTTAAAAAGGCTGTTATTCTTAAGCCTTGGGATTCTTCTGTTTTGTTTACACTGTCAGCACAAGTTTTGGCCAACAAACCAAAATGTTAAATTAAAATTAATGACAGGAATTTACTAAATGCAGCCTGAGTGTTATATATGCACCTTAACAATAAAAATAAAAGCACAGAGAGGGGAAAAAAAGAGCTGGACATTTTAAAATTAATTAAAAAATTAAAACCTAACTAATTCACATTTCTATTTCCTTTGTGTCCTGCATGTTCTCCAAAGAACAGCAATTTTACCTCAAACTTTTCTGAAAGTCACACAACACTGAAACTCCAAAACAATAAGCACCCACAGTAAATTGTAAGCTACTACAAGTAGTACAAATGCATACATTCTTGTCTAGATCAGTCTACTGAGATGATCAGTCTAAACTGAGATGATCAGAGTGCACACATTATTTTGCTACACAATCAGTGGTGAGAGAACATAAGAAGAGGGGAGGGAGAGGGAGGAAGGATAGTATCAGCAAAAGAAGTCTCTATTTTCATGTCTATATAGGATATTAAAAACCAAACTTAGCTCCAAAAACAAGTAACAGGACAGAAGAAAGCAAAGCTCTGCTATGGTAAATACAGCTCATCTAATTTAACCTAAAATGTGTTTTAAAAACCAACTAGTGTTTTCAAATCACAAGCTAAAAAACCCACACTTGAAAGAGTTTTGATTTTCTAAATCATGTGATCTTTCAAATAACTGCATTACTTTTTTGTCTGTAATACTGTCTCATACTGTCTTCAATATGATAGCTGTATTTAAAATATTTCTTACTTTCAGTTGGTAATAAATTAAAACATTATAAACTTCTAGGAAAAATGCTTAAATATATTTGGCCTTGAGAATAATAGCTCATGTCTAGACTTAGTTCTCTCCGACATGAAAAAAATGAACATTTTATTGGGGTGTTCTGAGCAGTTCTGGGCTGGGGGAACAGCAGACACTCTATAGAAAATGCTACCGTTTTGAATGGTAAAATCTGGTATGCAAAGCAGACTCATTTCAAAAAAATTCTCCCCATCTTAAGTAGAAGGTTAAGCATAGATTAAAACTAGAGCTCTGTTGTGGTTGCCAAAAATTCTCATGGATACTCCTTTTCTTGATGAACCATGATTATAATTTACCTGTTAAAATCCAATGCAACAGCATAATATTTACTAAAAAGAAGTTACACGGTTTATGAAAATACTGACCTAGCCTCAATTTAAAATTTTGTTTCTTAACACTACAAACAACACACTCTGAGGATATTCATTAATACACCACATTAGAAGGTAAAGAATTGCACAACACAGAATACAAAATCAGCTTTTTAATGGGGTCAGCTCCTTCAATTTTACCTTTTTTTCGTGCGATTAGAGTTGAAGGAGATCATGCCATGTTGAAAAAAATTATATATATAAAAAAAAAAACACTAAAAAAAAAAGGACAGAATAAGGTGTTTGCCAAAAATTCAAGATCAAATGCAGCTTTGAGTCTTCCTTAGCCTTTTTTTTTCTTGGACAAAGGGATGAGAAGGTGCTTTCTGTGCAGAGAGGGTTATAGGTGGAAGTGGCAAACGGAACTGACTACTCTAAAATACCATTTCTACAATTCAGTAAAAACAAAATTAACCCACTCTGAAAAACCATGAGCTGTGTAGATGCCAACTATAACAACTACAGCTATCCAAATAAATGCTTTTCATCATCTAATATGCACCTAGTTGGATAATACTACATTTCCAGAACCAGAAGAGGGAAGGAGGAAGGGACTAGCCACTGATCCCATCCTCTACAAATACCATTGGCTCCAATAGAGCAGGTCCACATGACCAAAAGCAGCAATATAAGACATTAAGAAAGAGGCCGCCTAAGTGGATGTTAAGAGCTCAGAAGGCTTTGTGGAAGAACTGTCCCCAAAAACTGGGGTTCCAGAAATCCACAGAGTATTTAGACAACCAGGTGTTGTGTTATGAACTGCTATAGTCTGTGTCATGCAATACTCCCTTAGTATCATGAAACAACAGTTCCTGCCCCTACTGTCACTCTCCAATAGGTAAATACAGCACATTATACAGACAGAGGTAGCTATACAGACAGAGATTAAGCTAGGGATCAAATGGACTGAGGTCATGACTAACTCATGCTAAAATAGACTGAAAGTGCAGATCTGTGTTCCCAACACATGCCTAACCCATTAGAAAAAGTTTTCTCATATTATCACACTTCGTTTCAGCCAGAGACATACTCATCTGCAGACAAACACATGGGAGAACTCCACTAGATAAAGTCACGTATTCATCTGGATTCTTTAAAAACTTTACTATTGTTTCTGTGAATTCCGCTTGCCAATTCTCTATTGCTGCATGAATACCAGCTACATATA